AAAAATTTTGACATGAAAGATTTGGGAGTAGCAGATGTGATTCTAGGAATTAAAATTTCTAGAACATCTGATGGACTAGTTTTATCCCAATCACATTATATTGAGAAAATACTTGCGAAGTTTAGCAAGTATGATACTAGTCCAGTAAGAACACCTTATGATCCAAATCTTAATCTTGTGAAGAATTTAGGTCGTGGTGTATCACAACTAGAATATGCTCGTATCATTGGCAGTCTCATGTATCTTACGAATTGCACAAGGCCTGATATAGCTTACTCTGTTAATAGATTAAGTAGATACACTAGTAATCCTGGAAAGGATCATTGGAAAGCTATAGTCAGAATTCTAAGATACTTAAGATACACCAAAAATGTTGGATTGCATTATACAAGATATCCAGCTGTACTTGAAGGATATAGTGATGCTAATTGGATATCTGATACTAAAGACTCCAATTCTACAAGTGGATATGTCTTTACAATTGGAGGTGCGGCTATATCATAGAGATCTACTAAGCAAACTGTTATAGCTAGTTCTACTATGGAATCTGAGTTCATAGCATTAGATAAAGCTGGTGAGGAAGCTGAATGGCTACGTAATTTCTTAGAAGATATTCCATGTTGGCCAAAACCAGTGCCTGCTATATGTATACATTGTGATAGTCAATCTACAATTGCAAGGGCACAAAACAATATGTACAACGGCAAGTCTCGACATATACGTCGAAGACACAACACCGTTAAGCAACTGCTCTCCAGTGGTATAATTACCATTGACTACATAAAGTCAAGAGATAATTTGGCGTATTCGTTTACTAGTTCCAGAGCCTGGGTAGAATCCATATGTTTGGGCCTAATTCACAGAAGCTCTTCTTGGCTCAACTTGGGAAATCTATAAGATGAACCATTGTTGACTAGAGAATAATTCAACTCTGGAATTACTTGGAGGCATCCAAGCTGCGTGCTGAAGAATTAGGGGTTGTAAGCCTCTACACCATATTGGTAGTTTCTGATGTGCATTTTCCCACCATAGAGCAAATCTCTTGATTGAAGGCATGAGAACACCTCCATATTGTCAGAAACCATGGGCCTGTTAGCATCCTTAGGGCCCTAATAGATAAGTTTGCCCTTAAACAAGGAACAACTCTTCTTCAGACTCATCAACCATTGAGCAGCATGTCTGGTCTTTCTGCCCATGAAGAATGTGAAACACTCTTCAGTTGTTTTTCCTGAAATTGGGCTTAAGACAAACTCCATCAAAGGCACCACGTTAGGGGCCACCTGCAGCTTTCTTCCTTTCAACTCTAGAAACGACCATTGGAGCCAAACTTGGACCATCCACACCGGTCCTTTTACGTTAAGATTGATGGGCTCAATAGTTGGCTCTCTCAAACCTCTGTAGATGGAGGCCAACATTAACGGACCGATAGCAATATCTCTATAAGTGGCCAGACCCTTTGCTAGCTGGAGCCACTCCGTTGTAATACAATTGGAGGCACTGGGAAATATGAATCTGTTCAGCCAGTACAAGGAACATAATGTGCTCGCCATGGGTATAGTCGACTTCCTTATTCATAAAATCCCTCACGAAGGCCCCATAAGCTCGACTGCAGACAATTATCCCAAAAAGAGTTTCAATGCTCTTTTTCCTCTCTTTATCCTTTGAAGGATCATCTTGGAAATCTCTCAACCAATCGGCGCTTCTTCCATAAGGCCGAAATCCAAAAACCACAGCAAGGTCAAGGATGGAGATTGACATCGGACCATCCCCAAAGTCGAAAGTGTTGGAGGCACTGTTCCAGAACATTAATGTAGGATTGAGAAGTGGAGGATCGGCTTGAAGTTGAATAGTCGAATACGTAATGGCATGATAGATACCATTATCGAGCCAAGAATTCTTGTACTGAGGTTCCATCCTCTTTACCCAATCTGCCCAGTGAAGGTCCACGCTGGACACATCGATTTTTGGAAAGAACCTTGGCAGTGTCTTGCTTCAATTCATCTAGTCGATTCCTTTCGACTGACAAGCTGGGATAGGAGCCCTGATTGAGTGAGGTTCATACTTGCACAGCTTATCACCCTTCTTCTCCAGATATCTAGGTTCCAGGACACAGTTATTGTTTGAAAAGCTAACAATATCCTTTACAGAGTAAGAATTAAGCCCGACCATTGGCAAATCTTTCAACTAGAGCATGAAATACATCGGCAAACTCACTCACTCCATCCCCCGAAATGAAGGGAGGACCCTAGGGTATAGTCTTTGATGAAGAAGAATCAGGAGCAGCAGAGTCTTTTTTTGGCACCATTTGATCAAATGGTTATCTTTGTTTTTGAAAGTTCGAAGTTTGAAAATCAGAAGTTAGGATTTTTATGAAAAACTCTGGTTCTCTTGATGCGACAGTAAGAATTCTGAAAGGTGAAAATGGAGGAGGTCACGAATCAAGAATTTAAAGCCTGGAGCTTCTTTTCAAGCGAGCCTTTGTCAGACAGTCTTTCCCATGTGGACAAACTACGTCCTTTTACAATTCCGTGAATAAGGCTCCTCAAACAACGTGGGAAAAGCCCACTTTATGAAGCACAACCAAAAAATCATTAAAAGTTTTAAAATAAGGCACCCACCTTATTCCTTAAACGAATTTTTGTTTAAAATAAGGCAAGAACCTTAGCAAAAGCCCTAAATACACTCCGATAATAGCGCTTATAGATATAGTTGATGTATTCCAATGGAGAGTCCAGATCCGAATACAAGAGAAGGCAAAAATAGGAGATGTTGGGTTAGATTGGCGAAAAACAGGGGGCACAACGGCATGAGACATTTAATCTCAACACAGAGCACAAGGCTCAAGCAATCACCACAGTAGGGAGAAGCAACCAACTCTTAGAGAGAGCCACGAGGGCAACCAAACAGGCTCAAATCCGGAAAAACAAAAAGACAAAAATAAAAAACAAAAGCAAAAAATTGAAAAACCGAGAATCACTCTGCAAAATTAGAGCAAAACCCCCAAAGAGGTGGAAGAGAAAGGAAACGGCAGGAAAAGGGGGATGAGGGAGAAAACAAGAAAAGAAAGGAGGAAGATGACGAAAGAAAGAGAAAAAAAAATCGAAAAACATGGAGTGAGAGAACAGAAAAAGAGAGAGGAAGGGGGAGAGGGAACCAGAAAAGGAAAGAAAAGAGGAAGAGTGTTAGGACCCAATCCCCATTTGGGCCTAATACTCTCTACAGCCCACATACGATCACCTCGATATCACTTTAGTATCGCCTAGCTATTATCACAATAACAACCTCGGCTCTCCGCATTTGTAGGAGTTTGTTAGAACCCTTGCCAGATCATAGCCAGTTGGCCATGATCAACAATTGTATAAACTCTCCTTCAGTCTTGCTGGAGGGGTATGAATGAATGAGTGCATTTCTTTCCCCTTTTCTCTTGTTTCTTGCAAATTTCTCTTTTCAGATTCAAGGTCCTAGCAAAATCTCGAGTATCTAGGGGAGGGAGGGGTGGGGAGGAGGGTCAGTGACCACTTCCTCCCAGCGGCACAAGAAGAGAAGGGGGTTAGGGTTGGGAGAAAAATCGCAGAGCAAGAAAACTGATGTTGTCTTAGAGTATCTACGAAAGAGATGTTAGGAGGACTAATAATGCACAAATGGTTAGCTTGCTTTGGCAGAAAAAAAAAAAACTGTTAGCTTGCAATCTAGAATACGTGAAAGAAACAATTTTGCAAACACAAATTTTATTTGAAAAATTTACAGGAAATTATCATCTATTAAACACGCTACTGAAAGGATGTTAAGTCTTACTGCATGTACATATAATATGCTTGACAAAATTAAAGTACTATTCTTATGAAATTCCTTGCTTTAACCATTCCCACTGCCTGAGCTACAGAGCGAAGTAAATCTTCCATCACGTAGCTTCTTTCTTTCCTTGAACCCCTGAAACAAAATTCCAAATGTGATTCATTAGTCGCTCCAAAGTCAAGACACATTAAGAATTTCAACTATCAGCTAAATAGATAACCTTTATCCACAAGGGACTTTACGCAGATAATTTTTGTCATATCTAATTTCTCTTTCTCCGATGAGTATTTCCGACAGTTGCGGCTCCAATGTCCTAACTCGCCGCAATGGAAACAATTTCCTTTGGAAATGTCTTTGTAGCTGGCACCCATGCCGAATTGCCCAGGGCGTCCATTGTTTTCATACGGCAAAGTGGATGAACTTGACTGAGGATATCCAGAGGTGGGAGTTGGCAACGCATATGGTGTAGCAGCTGCTACTGTTGTCAGCTTACATTTACTTTTAGGATGTTGTGGTTGAAACTTGGGAGCAAAAGCATCAAAACTACGTTTCGTCCCTTTTTTCTGCTGTTGTTCAACCTTGGAGGCATGACAACGTTTGTAGTTCTCCTTTAGTTTTTGCAGCTTAGTTATTTCTACTTCAATGTCCCTGGATGGGTATTCAGACTCGAGGTTGTAGTCTTTGATACATTGAATCACATCTAATAGATCAACCATTTGATTGTCTGCAATCTTATCCTGTGATCAAAATTAATCAAGCCTTAAAAGAAAGATGTATAATTATATTGAGGAGTGCCCTAGCTAGATTAATTTAACCATTTAAGAATCAGATATTGCATGTGCAAAGAAGAGCTAAGGTACCTTTTCATCAAGTGATTTCCTTTTCACGTACTTTTTCCAGGAATGCTTCTGTATATCATCCACGTATTCTTTTAAGAGTGGTACCGGGGGAAACTTGTCCATTAAATTGAAGGTGTAAATGCATCTAACAGCCTCAATCAGTTGCTTCCTCTCAATAAGATTTGCAATAACATCCGCTAAATGTAAAACAACATTGAAGGATTTTCATCAATCTAATTCATATAAGCTTAACCACCCAAACTTTAAACAGAGCAATGTTACCGATGCATTAACTAACAACTGGGCATATAAAAGAACGAACTAGAACACAATAATTATGGAAGGAAAACACAGCGTACCAGTGAGGCAAAACATGAACCGGAAATTGAAACCTTCACTTCCAATATATAAAAGATCCCAACACAATTAATCTGCAAATACTTTCTTACTGAATTAACTTCATTGTACATTTTCCTCATAAGGTTTACTGACTTAACTTCATTGTACATTTTTGTAATACCTTATCCTTGTATCAATAAAAGTTATCTTAGGTTTCTCAATCACCTTCAAGCCATTTGCTAATATTTGACCCATTAATTCTTGAAGGAATATAAAACCAAGCCAAGAATAACTATCATCCACCCCAAGGGGGACAAGAATCTTGGACACTCTTAGTTACTAACACCTATTGCCAAAATACTCTAAATTGCAGAAAGAAGTTAAATAGCATATTAAAAAATAAATAGGAGCAATGGTAAGTGGAACACAAACCAATATCAAAGCTAATTTTCAGAAAATTACCAGTGATCTTATCTCCAAAACCAAATCCCCGATAATATTCGAGAAGCTGTTTATCCCGAGAAATCATCCCAAGAAGCTTTACAAACCCATCCCCATTTAACGCAGAAGGCAATGCATCTGTAGCAATCTGCAAAGTTTCATTCTGTGTGAAATGACTCCTACTCAAATGCTCATTTGGAACCCCCTGCAAATTCCTAGCATTTGTGGTGGCAGTTAGTTGAAGATTTGGAGAAGAAAAGGTTGCTGCATTCTCACCAAGTGAAGATTCTGGTTTCTCTGTTTTGATAGTGGAGCAACTGATGCCACTTGCTTTACAATTGTAAAAGACAAGGAAAAGGTGATAGACAGGTTAGTGAGTGATTAATTCTCAATTTAATTTCTGACAAAAAAAAAATCCTCAATTTAACATATCACAAGATAGCATTACAGGGAACTTGTGCTTTGATTCAAGTGGTAAGGTGTGGGGTGAGGGTGTGATGTAGGATATGGGTGAATTGGGTATTTAGGTAGTTTAGCGGAAGCGAAAACAATGGAAAACAGAAAATAGAACAAAAGGGATGGGTCTGGAATCACTCCAGGGGTTTGGCTTCACACCAAGTAGTCTCCAATCTCTGGAAATAAGCTTTTCTTTATATCTCAACAACTCAACTCCATTACATAGGCAGGGTATTTATAATAATCTAACCCTAGAGTGAAAAGGAAAATTAAACTTATTCCAGGAAAGAAATCCTAATCCTAATGAAATCTGGAAAACTTAGAGAACCTAGGAACTAACAAATAATTAGGAAACTAATTAATAATCCCCTCTTCCATCTCTTTCGTTTGTAAACCCTAATGGGTTTGACAAAGATGTCCTCATCAGGGTGCACATAGCTATTATATTCAAATCTTACCAAGGAAAGCTAGAGACAAATGAGAAAAATAAAAATGAAGGCTTGGTTGCATATGCCAAATCAGCGTGTGCTAGTGAGCAAAATTGAAGGATATGGTATCGCCATAGTTTGCACTAACAAGATCTACGATCAAATGGCACCAAAAGAAGAGTATACGTGGCACTGTTTTCGGTCGAAAATATGTCCAGTAGGATTCTTACGATATAAATGAGAAAAGAACATGCAACAAGAGATGCATAGCACAATTTAAAAAAAAAACAATTTAAAAAAGGGAGAAATTAAACTGTTCACTATTTTCAGGCCAGCAAAAAGGAGAAAGCATTAACTTCTTGAAAAATAAAAATAAAAAACTGTTTACAATATAAATATTTCTTAAATATTTTCATCATTGCTTGCAATGACTTCTCAAAGTACATAAAGAATGCCACAACAGAATGTAACCAATGCGATATGCAAGAACTAGGCATTGAATTTTTCCTGTTCTCGTCTTTTTTTCTTCTTCTGAAAAGAAGCTCCCTTAAGGCACTGCATTACCATTTTAGAACTTTTACTTGTGACAGCAATGTTATAAAACAAAATAAAAAAGATTCACAGGCCTATGACCCTATCCCTTCCCATAATATGTACAGTGCATGTGTTCTCCCTCCCTGAGTTTAAATTAGATTAAAGAAGAATGTCATTTGTATAAGCATAAATATATATATATATATATATATATATTCAAAGGAAATGAAATTTATTGCCAAAGACAAGAGAGAACATGAAAGGAAAGTGGCTAAGGAAGCCACAGGGCCCAAGGGCCAACAAAGCGAGCGAAAAAGACAACAAACTACAAGGATCTAGGCTGTAGGAAACAGCAGGCAGCAAGAGGAACCACAAGCTCGCTAACCACATGCTACACAATTGCAGCATTCCAATCTAATAAAATGAAACTTCAACTCGAATACATAAATTCAGAGGTCGTAGATGCCCATAGCGAAGAAATATAATAAATAACCCATCAATTTAATATTTTTATGTACACATTCAGAGAGAGAGAGAGAGAGAGAGAGAGAGAGAGAGAATAGTAAAAAAATATAAAAAAAATAAAAACAGATATAAATATGAAAGAAGTTTGTTTTGAAAAAAAAAAATATATATATATATATATTACCAGGTGCCTTATCTGCCATGTCAAGGATCCCACACCTTTCAGCTGGCAATCCATGCTCGGCAGCTATACCACGAAGAGTTTGAAGCTCCCCAACGTCATAAGTAGAGGCCAAGTCATATGCAGTAAGAAGCCACAAATAACCCAAAACCTCCAACCAATTGTCAGCTGCCACAATCATCTTAGCTTTCCAATCACCCGCCAACTTCTTCGCTTCTTCTCTCACCTGATCATTAATTTCTGGTGAGACCCTCTTTAACTCCTTTAACAAATGAACACAGCTCCTTCGAATTACACTCAAATCAAAACCAAACTCCCTGTTTCCCACAGTTGAATTTGAAGTGTAAAACCCTTGCATTGCATCCAAAACTAATTTTGCTGGGTCTGATGACACGTGTAGACCAGTTGAGACTTCCGCAGACAGTCTATCAGTCATCCTAAAATACTCATTCATGAACACCTGCAAGCTCCTACCATCTCTGATGATGCTTGATTGATTGTTTGTAGGCGAAGGAACAACAGCATTGTTGTTAAGGATGCATTCCAATTGCTCAACCTTCACTTGAGAATGAAGGGTATCAGCCTTCTCCTTCGATTTCTGCTTTCGGGTGTGTTCTTCAGTGGACTTCTCAAATTGTTGTTGTTTCAATTCCAGCTCTTTGGCCTGTTGTTGGAGTCGCCTCGCACATTCTTGAATCGACTTATCAAGAGAATCCAAATGCTTTTCGCGGGGATATAAAAGCTTTTCTTTCAACTGAACCTCATTCATGCAATCCTTGACCCTCTTATCAATCAAATTAAGTTCCTCAACTTTTGACTCAAATTGTTTTTCAAGCTTCTCAAACCACCTTTTAATTTCCAACTCTCTCAATTCAAGTTTGCAGTCCCACACCCCCACTGATTTCTCAAGCAAATTAAAATCTTTTATTTTCGATTCAATTGCATTCGAGTACTCCAGCACTAATTTATGAATCAAACCAGGTTTCTGCTCCTTGGATTTCATCTCTCTGTCATATTCTTCAATCAATGTTTGTTTGGCTCTAATTTCCTCATCTTTCAAATCAAATTCTTTCCACTGTTCGACAACCTTACCCTGAACTGCATTTAATTGCCTCTCCTTGCCTTTAACCAATTTCTGTACTTTCCCCAATCGATTCACTTCAACCTCATATTTTTCGCAATGTTCTTGAATAGACAACTTAAGGGATTGCAATTGGGACTTACTCTCTTCAACCTCCTGTACAATGCCCTGCAATTGCTTGGCTTTAGCTTCCATCACCAAGTTGAAGTTCAACTCTTTGGTTTCAAAATCCGCCAATCTACAGTCGATTTCCTTCTTCAGCTCTTGGAGCTCTTGTAATTCGGTCTGGAGCGAGTTCCTGGTGGAGTCGAAGAGGTCCACAAGCTCCTTCCACTGCACACTGAATTGGATCATGGAATCTGCTTGGGCGCGCAAGGTCTCGTGGGCTTTTCCGAGACTCCTCTGCTTCACCTCTGACAGCTTCAAATTCCAAGATATATCTTCCATTGTCATCTTTGTCTGCTGCCCTGTAAACAAACCCTAACTGCACGATACCGTAAGAACGTCGTGGTGGCGAAGAATGGAGAGTGAAAGAAAGTTCAAGAAAATGGAGAAACCTCAGTGTCTACCCTGTCTAGTGTGTGTTGGCTGGCTAGCGGGTAGTGGTTCTCTGCCACCGGGGACAGGTGGTTTTTTCAACACCCCACGGAGGTAAAGCGTTTTGCCTGCCTGCCTGTTTGCCCGTACTATAAATGCGACAAGTGTTGTAAAGATAGTGGGTGGAGCCCACATGTTGGATTCCTTGTCAGTCACATCACGGAGGCTTATCACTTGTAGGGCATCATTTCCTTAGTCTATAAATAAGGCATTATTATGCCTTTGCATTGACACACCAACCATCACGGAAGGAAGAGAGAGCCCAGACAGAGAGGAGAGAAAAGAACAGAAGAAATATGACAAGAAAGGGAGAATGAGAGGGGAGAAAAAAGAAAGCAAAGAGAAAAATTATTGAGACACATATATTGTAAACATTAAAGTTGTAGCCTATTATTTTACATAGTGGAAAAGTTACTGCTGCTGCTCTTCGAGGACGTAGGCATGGCTGAACCTCGTTAAATGTTGTGTCTCATCTACTTTACGTGCAACTCAATATTCTAGCATATCTCGTTTATTTTACAACAACAAGCTTATTTTTTGATATACCCTGAAAGTGTATTTGAGTCTCACTTTGCCCCCTAAAACTCATTTTGTCTCACTTTATCCTATTTTTCACTTTTTTTTTTTGATATGGAAAAGAAAAAATTACAAGACAAAGCCTCGCGGGCAAGAGCGCCCGAAGAGGTCAAAATAAAAGGGGGTCCTAACAGATAACGGAAGCCCACGCTCCCACAAAACTTGATTAGAAAGACCATGACCTAATTTTGCAACCGCATCCGCCGTGAAGTTGGCCTCCCTAAAAAAAGTGTTGAAACCGGATGCTTGCAGCAGAAGAGGACAGGGCCCAAATATCTTGAATAATCTGTTGGATACACCAAGGGGGGTTAGCTTTACCCAAGATACTGTCAATGACAAGCTTAGAATCCCCTTCAATCACAATTTGATCCCATCCTCTATCAAGAGCAGCGGCAAGACCATCACGAAGAACAATACATTCAGCAACATTAATGGAATTTTCGCCAATATTGTTAGAGACCGCAACGAGGACATGCTGTTTGCCCGTTTTGCGTTCACTCCTGTGATGGAAGGGCAAAGTTCCCCACTGCCTTGAGAACCATAAACTGGTCGACAAGTCAGCTTTCTTTGGTGTGCGAGCGTGCCACTGCTAGCAATAAAAATTCTAGCAGACTTAGTTTGGAGTAGATAACTTGCGCCCCAAGTTACTGATTTCTGCAAACAAACGATTGTGAATTTGGGTGAGGAATATCTCCCAAGTAAGTTCTTTTCTCGCCTCAGACTGGTGAGGACTTTAACAATTTATCTCAGTATAAAAAGGCTGTTCTGGCCAGAATGGTTGATGGAATTTAAACTGTTTCAGGCAGAACTGATGGAATTTAAACTGTTTTTAGGCAGAACTGATGGAATTTAAACTGTTTTTAGGCAGAACTGATGGAATTTAAACTGTTTTTAGGCAGAACTGATGGAATTTAAACTGTTTTTAGGCAGAACTGATGGAATTTAAACTGTTTTTAGGCAGAACTGATGGAATTTAAACTGTTTTTAGGCAGAACTGATGGAATTTAAACTGTTTTTAGGCAGAACTGATGGAATTTAAACTGTTTTTAGGCAGAACTGATGGAATTTAAACTGTTTTTAGGCAGAACTGATGGAATTTAAACTGTTTTTAGGCAGAACTGATGGAATTTAAACTGTTTTTAGGCAGAACTGATGGAATTTAAACTGTTTTTAGGCAGAACTGATGGAATTTAAACTGTTTTTAGGCAGAACTGATGGAATTTAAACTGTTTTTAGGCAGAACTGATGGAATTTAAACTGTTTTTAGGCAGAACTGATGGAATTTAAACTGTTTTTAGGCAGAACTGATGGAATTTAAACTGTTTTTAGGCAGAACTGATGGAATTTAAACTGTTTTTAGGCAGAACTGATGGAATTTAAACTGTTTTTAGGCAGAACTGATGGAATTTAAACTGTTTTTAGGCAGAACTGATGGAATTTAAACTGTTTTTAGGCAGAACTGATGGAATTTAAACTGTTTTTAGGCAGAACTGATGGAATTTAAACTGTTTTTAGGCAGAACTGATGGAATTTAAACTGTTTTTAGGCAGAACTGATGGAATTTAAACTGTTTTTAGGCAGAACTGATGGAATTTAAACTGTTTTTAGGCAGAACTGATGGAATTTAAACTGTTTTTAGGCAGAACTGATGGAATTTAAACTGTTTTTAGGCAGAACTGATGGAATTTAAACTGTTTTTAGGCAGAACTGATGGAATTTAAACTGTTTTTAGGCAGAACTGATGGAATTTAAACTGTTTTTAGGCAGAACTGATGGAATTTAAACTGTTTTTAGGCAGAACTGATGGAATTTAAACTGTTTTTAGGCAGAACTGATGGAATTTAAACTGTTTTTAGGCAGAACTGATGGAATTTAAACTGTTTTTAGGCAGAACTGATGGAATTTAAACTGTTTTTAGGCAGAACTGATGGAATTTAAACTGTTTTTAGGCAGAACTGATGGAATTTAAACTGTTTTTAGGCAGAACTGATGGAATTTAAACTGTTTTTAGGCAGAACTGATGGAATTTAAACTGTTTTTAGGCAGAACTGATGGAATTTAAACTGTTTTTAGGCAGAACTGATGGAATTTAAACTGTTTTTAGGCAGAACTGATGGAATTTAAACTGTTTTTAGGCAGAACTGATGGAATTTAAACTGTTTTTAGGCAGAACTGATGGAATTTAAACTGTTTTTAGGCAGAACTGATGGAATTTAAACTGTTTTTAGGCAGAACTGATGGAATTTAAACTGTTTTTAGGCAGAACTGATGGAATTTAAACTGTTTTTAGGCAGAACTGATGGAATTTAAACTGTTTTTAGGCAGAACTGATGGAATTTAAACTGTTTTTAGGCAGAACTGATGGAATTTAAACTGTTTTTAGGCAGAACTGATGGAATTTAAACTGTTTTTAGGCAGAACTGATGGAATTTAAACTGTTTTTAGGCAGAACTGATGGAATTTAAACTGTTTTTAGGCAGAACTGATGGAATTTAAACTGTTTTTAGGCAGAACTGATGGAATTTAAACTGTTTTTAGGCAGAACTGATGGAATTTAAACTGTTTTTAGGCAGAACTGATGGAATTTAAACTGTTTTTAGGCAGAACTGATGGAATTTAAACTGTTTTTAGGCAGAACTGATGGAATTTAAACTGTTTTTAGGCAGAACTGATGGAATTTAAACTGTTTTTAGGCAGAACTGATGGAATTTAAACTGTTTTTAGGCAGAACTGATGGAATTTAAACTGTTTTTAGGCAGAACTGATGGAATTTAAACTGTTTTTAGGCAGAACTGATGGAATTTAAACTGTTTTTAGGCAGAACTGATGGAATTTAAACTGTTTTTAGGCAGAACTGATGGAATTTAAACTGTTTTTAGGCAGAACTGATGGAATTTAAACTGTTTTTAGGCAGAACTGATGGAATTTAAACTGTTTTTAGGCAGAACTGATGGAATTTAAACTGTTTTTAGGCAGAACTGATGGAATTTAAACTGTTTTTAGGCAGAACTGATGGAATTTAAACTGTTTTTAGGCAGAACTGATGGAATTTAAACTGTTTTTAGGCAGAACTGATGGAATTTAAACTGTTTTTAGGCAGAACTGATGGAATTTAAACTGTTTTTAGGCAGAACTGATGGAATTTAAACTGTTTTTAGGCAGAACTGATGGAATTTAAACTGTTTTTAGGCAGAACTGATGGAATTTAAACTGTTTTTAGGCAGAACTGATGGAATTTAAACTGTTTTTAGGCAGAACTGATGGAATTTAAACTGTTTTTAGGCAGAACTGATGGAATTTAAACTGTTTTTAGGCAGAACTGATGGAATTTAAACTGTTTTTAGGCAGAACTGATGGAATTTAAACTGTTTTTAGGCAGAACTGATGGAATTTAAACTGTTTTTAGGCAGAACTGATGGAATTTAAACTGTTTTTAGGCAGAACTGATGGAATTTAAACTGTTTTTAGGCAGAACTGATGGAATTTAAACTGTTTTTAGGCAGAACTGATGGAATTTAAACTGTTTTTAGGCAGAACTGATGGAATTTAAACTGTTTTTAGGCAGAACTGATGGAATTTAAACTGTTTTTAGGCAGAACTGATGGAATTTAAACTGTTTTTAGGCAGAACTGATGGAATTTAAACTGTTTTTAGGCAGAACTGATGGAATTTAAACTGTTTTTAGGCAGAACTGATGGAATTTAAACTGTTTTTAGGCAGAACTGATGGAATTTAAACTGTTTTTAGGCAGAACTGATGGAATTTAAACTGTTTTTAGGCAGAACTGATGGAATTTAAACTGTTTTTAGGCAGAACTGATGGAATTTAAACTGTTTTTAGGCAGAACTGATGGAATTTAAACTGTTTTTAGGCAGAACTGATGGAATTTAAACTGTTTTTAGGCAGAACTGATGGAATTTAAACTGTTTTTAGGCAGAACTGATGGAATTTAAACTGTTTTTAGGCAGAACTGATGGAATTTAAACTGTTTTTAGGCAGAACTGATGGAATTTAAACTGTTTTTAGGCAGAACTGATGGAATTTAAACTGTTTTTAGGCAGAACTGATGGAATTTAAACTGTTTTTAGGCAGAACTGATGGAATTTAAACTGTTTTTAGGCAGAACTGATGGAATTTAAACTGTTTTTAGGCAGAACTGATGGAATTTAAACTGTTTTTAGGCAGAACTGATGGAATTTAAACTGTTTTTAGGCAGAACTGATGGAATTTAAACTGTTTTTAGGCAGAACTGATGGAATTTAAACTGTTTTTAGGCAGAACTGATGGAATTTAAACTGTTTTTAGGCAGAACTGATGGAATTTAAACTGTTTTTAGGCAGAACTGATGGAATTTAAACTGTTTTTAGGCAGAACTGATGGAATTTAAACTGTTTTTAGGCAGAACTGATGGAATTTAAACTGTTTTTAGGCAGAACTGATGGAATTTAAACTGTTTTTAGGCAGAACTGATGGAATTTAAACTGTT